CCGCCACTCTTTGACAACTCTCTCCCGCCTTTCGCGCAAAATGTGTGAAACTTTCGGAGTTGAGGGTTACGATAATGGACTACTTTAGGTGTATACAGTAAGGGTTGCTCTGAGGGTTGCTATTTCGGTGAGAGTCTTGGGGTGCATCGAAAGAACCTCCCAGCAGTAGCGAAAAGGAGAGCCGGACGTTAATTCCCAATAGCTCCCCGACTCCAGGCATCGATTCCAATCCTGAATCAATCATGGGTTACGAGCCATGCTCGCTCGCCGCTCGTGCCTCTCATGATCGCCCCATCACTGCATCCGTCACCCCTTCGAGGGGCACTCTATCAGATTTTGGAACGCTTGTGCTTGGCTCCTGGCATGCTTTCTCTCGTCTTGCTCTCGTCCGTTGGCGTCGTGACCGGCGCATGCGATGCTGTGCAGTTATGGAACCCTCTAAAGTACCCCTATAAAGGCAACCCTATTATCGAACCTATGGTATCCTTAAACCTTAGCTGCTGTCTTTAACACGGCCGCGAACTGGACTTTCGCTTCGCCATAGGAACGGATCGTCGATCTTTGAGCTCCGTGGTTCTTCGTCGATAGCACGTTCTGGAACGGTGGCGAGAACGATACATAGAGGTTCATGGGTAATTATGATAAGTGGGGTTATAAGTAGGGCAACTATAAACATACCCCATATTAGGGACTTGTAACCCCACTTATAACTACCATGAACCTCCAAGTAGAGCTCCTGCAGCAGGCTTCAACCTAGAGCATGACATGCGCAGCCGAGGTAAACTGCAAGCTTCGACGACCTGTTCTGCAGTCCCTGCAACGTCACAACACCACATTCATTACTGTCTGGGTTATGGGGACTATTGCAGGGATTATATAGGGACTGCTACAGGGATCCATTCCGCCATTCCCTACAAAGAACCAGACAGATTAGGCAGCACTGGGTCGCGCTGACCGGGGGCTAAAGCCCTAGTCCAAAACCTAAAACCCCCGTGGAATCCCAAGGAGCCAAAACTCTGAAACCCTCGCCTAGAATCCGAACAATCCTAAACAACCCTGAAATCTAAGCTTCCGCACGCAGGCGCGGAATAAGGCGGCCGAGGTGGGAACATCGGAGCCCCTTGGGGGGTTGGGGCGTAGGGTTTGGGGTTCCAGGGTTTCCACAAGGTTTACTACAAGGGCTACTATAGGGATCACTTTTTCTGGAGTTTCCGAAAATAGGGGACCCTAGTATAGTACCCCTAGTCATGGCCCAAAACAAGGTGCCCCTAATTGCCGGAAACTCCCATATGGGTTACGATACGTGTTATCCGACGAGGCTCGGCCGGCTAGGGTATCACGCTTTGGGGCTTGGGGGCTTCGGGGTTTCAAGGAGGTCTTGGCAAGCCAACTAGGGGTTCTCCTTAGCCTACCATTTTTTCCTCTTGCCACCATAACAACCTTGATTAGTATCGGTACTTTCACGACTATCAGTACTGGTACCTCCATCATACTGACATGACTGTCACCATACTCATGAATAACACTATTACCACTACTGCCATTCGTACACCTGTTGACCTACCAGCACTCTTGTCAATGCTATTCTTATTGTGGTTCTTATAACCAATATTACCTCTGTCATGTGCATCAATCAATACCATGCATTGTCATTCTCACTAAGCCTTACAAGAGTACTGATCACGCAACACTCATCATACTTCTTACTCCGCTTGCTGCTTCTGTTGCACTTGCAAGTGTTTCTAACCCCTAAACCCCCACACCCTGAACCCCTGAACCCGGTACCCGCCTACAGGCCGGACCCAGGAGGGCTGAAAGGCCGGCTGCGGATAGATGGGTGGCGCGGGGCCTTAGGCAGGGGAGAGCAGGGTCTGAAGCCTTAGGGTTCAGGGTTTAGGGTCTAGGGTTTAGGGTTCAGGGTGTTCAGGGTTTAGGCTTTGGCTTTTAGGGTGTAGGGTTTAGGGTTTAGGGGGTTTCGGGGGGAAGTGAACGAATTCAGTGACTTCGGGTGTCAGGATCTCGAGGCTTAGAGGTTTGGCAGTCTCCGGATTCAAGGCTGTGGGGATGGGGGGGGTTTAGTGATTCAGTGTCCAGGGTCTTACTACCTGGGCCTCCTTTTGGGCGGCTTCGTTCGGTGTAGCCGAGGCACAGCCTCCCCACATAGGCGGCCAGCCGAAGGCCCCGCCGAGGTTCGCCATGTTCGGCACATTCGCCCTGAGGGTTTAGGGTTTTGGGGGTTTGAAGTTTAGGATGGAGGGTTCGGGGCTTAGAGTTGTGTGAGAGAGAGAGAGAGAGACGGAAGAGAGAAGAGGGAAGAGAGAGAGAAGAGAGAAGAGCGAGAGGAAGAGGGAGAGGGAGAGGGAGCCACTGCCGCCGATGGCGCAACTGCACAATTATTCGACAACTGCCCCTTCTCTTGTGGCCATTGTGGCAGAACTGCCGAACATAACCCCGCTTCGGGGACGGGCTTATTCATGCAGTATTTACCTAAGCCCTACCCTGAACCCAAAGACAGCGCTGGTCCGACATTGCTTCACTTATCTTGAAGGCCTTGAAAGAAACGAGCCAACTCCGAACATAGGCCCCAAACCCGTGTAAACCCCTGAAGTTCCGCCGTCGAGTGAGTGTACCTCGGCGCCGAATAGGACCATCCGCCACCACCAGGCGGCTGCCAAGCCGGTGAAGGCCCCGCACCCTGAGGACATGAAGGTGTTCATTTGGCATTCGGCGTTTGGGGTTATCGCGGATGAGGGCTTTAAGGCCTTCAAGTTGTTGTTCTATGTTGTCGGGTCTATGATCTACGCGTGTGGGGTACGGGTCACAGGATGCAGACAGGGAGCCACTGGCTGAGATCGTAGCGAAGTAAAGTCTAAAGGTTGTCAGGAACTCGAAAACTCCTCAATGTATCCCTTAAATCACAAGAAGGATCTTGTTTGCTGAGGGGTATATCCCTTAATTACAGGATTTGGGGAGTCAATGCTCACAGCTTTAGAGCCTGGTGATCTGGTAATATAGGGGCCTGTATAATCAGAACGGGGTTCCATTGAGGTTTCTGTAGGGCTTCCTTTATGGGCTCCATTGAGTGTTCTGCAATACTCCAAGTGGAAATATCCGTGCTTGGTATTACGGGCCCGGAAACTGTATAAGTATCGTCCGCTGCGTCAGGTGTTGAGCAGGGATTTCTTTAAACCGCAGCAGCCCGAGCAATCTGGCATGAAGAGCCCTCTAGAGCGATGTAAGCATACATCCGCCTTCAGGGCTGCCTTCGTCAAGTCTGCAGATGCAAAGTCCTGCTTGCCATAAACCCCCAGCTGAAGGGAACGCAATGAAGGAAGGTTGCCAACCAAACTGCAAAGGCCAATCTTGGCAGAGCTGACTACAGCTGCTGGCAAGTCTTGGTCCCAACCGAACGTGCTTAGCGAGGATCTTTCCAGAGTGGACAGAAACTGGTGCACCTGGGCAGCCGTCAGCTCACGTTCATCCAAGCTCTGGATGTATAGCCCGGATGCCCCACTCGCACGAACTTCGTCGGCCAATGCGCAGAGCTGCTCGCCCGAGAAGTTCGCTGACAATGCAATCATACAGCAGCTGGATGGCCATCTAATCTGAGACAGGACTTGAGGCAATGTGTCGTCAAAAAGGTCATCCTCAAGAATGCGTACATGTGTAAGAGAGAACACGTCCATGCACCTTTGCAAGGAAGACTTACAATCCACTTCGTCGCATGCCACCTCGAAACTTACCGATGTCAAGCGCCGCAGGGTTCCGGAACAGTCAGCAAGTCGTTCGAACAGCAGTGATGCCGAACACTCGGATGTGCTGTTCACCGACAAGCCTAAACGGAGAAGGTTGTTGAAGGTCGGCAAGGCCTTCACGACAAGCTCTGGCCATGTGTAGCAGTAGCAGTCGAAACGCTCGAGACAACGGCAGTGGCGCTGAAGGTTTAGTAAAACAGTCCTCCAAAGGCAAGTCTTATCACCATACCGACGAAAAGTCCCGATGTTCGCCTCACGAAGCTTGACAAAGGGACCCAGAAGCCAGCCCATGCACAGAGCGAAGTGGTCCAACTCGCGTGGACTATGGTTAATCTGATAATCAAACAATGAGATCATAGTCACCTCTGCCTTATCAATGGCAGGCAAGCACTTGACCGTCTGATCAGCCGCTTCCTCCCCACAGTTGACGATGACGTGAGGCACAATGAGGAGGCCATTCGAAGAAACGCACAATCTCCGCACGGTAACATTCAACATGCTTGCCACTGCAACTGCGAATGGATCCAGCATTGGCGCCAGCTGCTTCCACACAAACTTCTTCTCCAATGCCATAGCCACTAGCGTGAGACTTGACTCGCAACCGCACTGGCAAAGAGCCCTACACTCTAAACCCTGCACCTTGGCAGCCCTTCCGCAATAACATCCCTACCCTCATGCAGGTGTGCGCTGACTGTTGGGCCTTCTCGGAAACAGATGCTCCAGGTAGCTGCTTTCAATGGCGTGGCAAGAGCTGATAGTTGCGAAGTCGCACGTGTTTGGGAGATGGGGCTTCGGCTGGTGCAGAAAACCCATCCCGATGACAATAACGACAAGGAGCACATGCCGGCACTGGTCACGACAACTGCGACCATGACCACGACGACGACCACGACCACGAGGACCCGAATAACAAGAGTTACAAGCAGAACTGCTGCCTAAATGGTCACAGAAAAAGGGAAGGGGATAAGCACAAGCCGCACACCTTGTTCGTCGAGTCTGGAGTTTGCTCCGGTTGCTTCTCCTCCTCCATTCCCGCAGCGGCTTCAGAGCTTCGGGCGAAGAAGTTGTCGATCTACGGTTCACGGGCTGGGCCTTTGATATAGGGGCCTTGATAATAAGAATAGGGTTTTGGGGTACATTATACTATATTCAAAATAAAGAACCCCCCATTCCAGTATGCGTAATTATTTAGGCCCCTATAGTATCATTCCTGCTTGGAGATCGTTGGGTCTCCGCGACTTAGGTCTAAGGTCGATCCTCCGCGGTCTTCTGCTGCGGAGTTGTCTCTTCTTCCTTCTTCTTGGCCTCCTGATGGGCAGAGAGCCACAAGGTTCAAGGATTCGTCGGCAGGCCCCAGAAGCTACTAGTACCGGGGGCAAGCGCCTGTCAGACAAAGGGATTGGGCTTGGGTTCAGAGCTTATAACAACTCACTCGGCTGCTTTCTGACGGAAATCTGCAAAAAACTCTGCGAGAAGGCCGCTCATACCGCTCCAAAACTGAAACCCTAAGCCAAAGAGAGAGACTGAACGGGAAACAGTGATGACAATCCAGCTGGATGCAGTAGACCAGTAACCGGGCCCCAAGAGCTACTCCGAGCAAAGCTCAGGAATCAAGTGCCAAGAGCTGCGGGCTGTAGCAAGGGCACCTTCATGCAGCAAGTAGGATGGGGCTTCGGGGACTATCCGACTATGAATAGCACGGACTACAAGGATACTATTGCTAATCCTTCCAACCCCTGGATTGAATTGAGCAGTGTAGGGTTTCAGGCTTGGGGGCCTTTTGGGCCAAGGACACATCTTAAACCCTAAGCTCCTAAACCCTACGCCCAAACCTCAAACCCAAAACCCTAAACACACACCTAAACCCCTCCTTAACCCTAAACCCCCAAATCCTAAACCCCCAAACCCAAACCCTAAACCCCTAAGCCCCTAAACATTAAACCCCTAAACCTTCACCCAAAAAAGCCCAGACCCTAAAGCCCTAAACCCTAAATCCTGAACCCTAAAGCCGTGCTCCTCGTTCTCCTTGCGCACCTCAGGAGGTCGAATCGGAAGATGCGCGGAGTCCTCCGGCGCGCTGTGCAATTTTTAAGCGCTTCCAAACCTTCAACACAACGTAATACCTGCCGTCAACAAGCGACACAGGAACCCTGTTTCGTGTGGCAAGCGTGACACTTTTGGCACAAGCGTTTCTCCAATAATCCCTCAGCTGAGGTGCTTTTTACGGTGCTGACTCTGATGATGACGGCTAGCACCATCTTGCAAGACATAATCTAGAAGCCTGAGCAATTTCTATCACTATCTGCTTGTAGTCCCTATGCTATTTTTCATATACTATTCCCCAGCCCCGATCCTAATCTTTTGAACGCCCTGCACTACACTCTCAGAGTAACCCGTAGAGCACCCAGTGTAGAACCCGCACAGGAACTCTATTCCGTTCACAGAACCCTATTCTAGTTCTGCAGGCCACCGTTACCCTGAACCCCAAACCTCCAAACCCATAAACCCCTACGTAAACCACTAAAACCCCTAAACCCCTAATTTTGGCCGTGCTAGCCACGCATGTGGCCCCGGAAATGTGATCCACTCTGACATAAAGTCCAGACGCGTCACTTTCTCTTAGAAGGCTAAATCGCAAATCGCAAAGCGCTAGCGATTTGGACACGCAACCCCCAAATCGCCTTGTTTTTGCTTTTGGACATGTGCCCAAATCGCAAATCGCACGATTTAGGTTCTATGCTGCGAATAGAAGATCCAAATCGCTGGCTAAGTTGCTTACGCGTTGCCTATATGGGGGCTTCGAAAAACGCATTTGTCACGCAGCGACAACCCTCTAAGCCAGAAGCTTAAAAGGCCTAAACCCTATGACCCCGAACCCGTTTACCCTGCACCAAACCCTGTGCTCAAAATGCGTTTTGCAGGCGCCTAAAAAAGCACTTTCAGGCTTCCAAGCCTCAAAACCCTGAAACCCTTCACGCTAAACCTTCAGGCTGTGCTCAAAATGCGTTTTGCAGGCGCCCGAAAACGCATATTCAGCCTTCAAAGCTCTTAAACCCCTAAAACCCTTCACGCCAAATGCTCAAAATGCATTTTGCAGGTGCCCAAAAACGCATTTTCAGCCTTCCAAGCCTCAAAACCCCGTTTCCCTTCACGCCAAACCTTCAAGCTGTGCTCAAAATGCGTTTTGCAGGTGCCCCAAAACGCATTTTCAGCCTTCAAAGGCCTAAAGCCCCGAAGCCCTTCACGCCAAACCCTCAAGCTGTGATCAAAATGCCTTTTGCAGGCGCCAAAAAACGCATTTTGAGCCTTCAAAGCCTCAAAATCCCGTAGCCCTTCACGCCAAACCTTCAAGCTGTGCTCACAATTCGTTTTGCAGGCGCCCAAAAACGCATTTTGAGCACAGCTATCTAATTCCTATAAAGCCTGAAGCCTAAACTAAGCTATGATATGTGTGTAGGGTTTTCGGGTATAGTAGGGCTGTCAGCATTCTAAACGTTAAAACCTAAATCCTAAACCCTAGCCCTATAAACCCTAAAACCCGAAACCCTCAGGATGCGTGCCAAAATGATCATTTCCGGGGGCTTGCTTGAGCCTTGTTGTAAGCATCTGGAAAGAGCCTTTGCTGCTACTTGCCAGAACCTTGTCAAGAAAAGAACCTTGCAGCCCTTGTCCTCTCTTCAGCCTACAACCTACAAACCATATTCCAAATCGCTAACGATTTGGGCTCTACGATTTTAAATCTAAATCGCGTACGATTTTAAATCGCTAGCGATTACCCCATCTAAGCACTTTCTCGATTGTACACAGAAGCAACAACACGGCAAAAAACAGTGCTCTGCTTGGTACCTTGCGTTTCATCATGACTATTCAAGTGACTATTCTCGTATTCTCGTGCCTTCTATCGTTCTTTATGCTGTCTGTATTGTTTCCCTGCTTCATCGGTTCCTTCTCGTGTTCTCCTGAACTCAATTGCTTTAAACATTCCTCGATCTGCTTGTCTTTGCTAGTATACAATTTCTTTTTTTCTCTCCTTCTTTATGTAATCGCTTCCCCTGAACATTCAATCCCCCCCTAATATAAAAACTGCCGGCCCCCGGAGTTTTGCGGTTTCGGGCCCCGCATTCAATTTCAAAGGGACAACATTAGGGGGGGTGGCAGATCTGTATGTGTTTTAATTGAACGAAGACTACAGTAGTACTAAAGACAGCAGAGCTTTAGGGTTTAAGGGTTTAGGGCTCAGGGCTAAAGCTTTAGGGCTTGGGGCTTTACGGCTTAAAGTTTAGGGCTCAGGGCTTTATAGAGCCAAAGATTACAGCAGTACTAAAGACACCAGAGCTTTAGGGTTTAAGGGTTTAGGGCTCAGGGCTAAAGCTTTAGGGCTCAGGGCTTTAGGCCTTAAAGTTTAGGGCTCAGGGCTTTAGGTTTGGGGCTCGAGGTTTAAGGCTTAGGGCTTTAGTAGGGCCTCAGGGCTCCAGGCCTAGGATAGCTAGCAGCTGGGAGTCCGGGTACGTGGGTGCACCGAAACCCCCCTAATATAAAAACTAAACCCTCCAAATCCAGTTTTTATATTAGGGAGGGGGGGGGGGCGTTTTAATATTAGGGGGAAGGGATTACATGTTGTCTTCATGTCATTCTTTCTTTGTGTGTTGTTTCGTTCTTTCGTTCGTTCTTGGTCTGGCGCTCTTTATTGCGGTAACTCGTGCTGTCTGTCGCTATTTCGGTCTTTCATTCTCTTTGTCGCTTGGGGGTACCGCGATACGAAGAAAAGACTGGTATTTACAGCGTTGTTGCCTCTTCGTCCAACATACTTAAGGTTCTCGGTTTCAAGATTTCGGTTCAGGGTCGGCAGGAATGTCATTACCTACCCCGCCACCCACCCCAGGAGTTGGAGACGCAAACGAAGCACCAAAGCAGTGCACAGACATTCCCCTGCTTGCTCAAACGTTCTCTGCGATTTTGCACGATATTCTGTCCTTGTGCTTTCTCTTCCTGTGGATACTTCTACAGCTGCCTTCTTATTGGAGCCTACAGGGCAAGGTGTGGGGATCAAAGATGAGGGCTTCGGCCCCGAAAAGGGGTTTGCTAGGGCCTCCAAGGGTTCTGGGGTTTATATGGAGTTTAGTATCGGAGCATTCATGATATATGTGGGGGCTATCAGCGGGCTCAAGTTCTGGATCCCCAATCCCCGATAACTGAACGGACACCGTAGTTCCGAGACCGGAAAAACTCCACATGTCAACAAACACGGCAAGGCATGACGCAGAACACCAAACCTCGGGAGCCAATTTTAGCACGATTGCAAAAAACAGCTGGAAGAACACTACCAGTGGAAGCCGCAGCAGCACAGCCACCACGACCAGCACCATCACTGCCAACGAAGACGACAACAACAGCAGCAGAACGAGCGCAAAGACAACCAAAAAGCACGAGAACAAGGTCAAAATGAAAGAATAACAACATTAGTAACAAGGACCGAAGCAGACGGTGCAAAAGTAGTGGCAACCATGGTGAAGGCGGGCAGTGAGTCCTTCACCAGGGACAGAAGATCGCTCTTCTCCTCGGCTTTAAGTCTCTCCAGAAATCGTCAAGAGCACCACAAGGAAGACGGAGAAGAAGCTTAGTGAGAGACTGGTTGATACTGGTGATGATGGTGCTGCTGACGGTGCCGGTGCTGGTGCTCGTGGCATTGGGTACGGTTGCGGCAGTGGTGGTGGTGGTGCTGCTGCTGGTGGTGCTGATGTTGGTGCTGGTGGTAGTGGTGCTGGTGGTGCTGGTGCTGGTGCTGATGCTGGTGTTGGTGCTGGACCATAGCAACCGTACTTAGGCATTGGATCTGTGAGCTCGTTGGAGTTGCTGTATGCAAAGGACCTTATCATTGGAATTGGGTTTTGGTGTATACTATGGTAAGATTCTACTAAGGCTCTTGAAATATGACGGAAGTGCAATCAGACTGTAGCACTCCTGCTCCTTTAAGAAAGCCCTGATGATGAGCAGATCCACAGCAGAGCTTGCAAAGAAAGTTTTTTAAGGGTGCAGTGGGACTTTCACTCTGCCGGCTCCCTGCCAGGCCTCAGGGCCTCTGTGGGCTCGCAAGATGAACCAGCTTGCGCTAAAGCCCAAATTCTAACACCTAGCCCTTTGCCCTAATCCCTAAACCCTACACTGCCCTTACCCCTAGCCCTTGACCACACAATCATCTGCCCAGCCGCTGTGACCCAAGCAGGGATGCGCACTCCGCGGACTTGCAGAAAAGCCTTGAGCTCCTGGCGTCCCATCAGAAGAGTCTCAAGTTACTTGGAGGTTCATGGGTAGTTATAAGTGGCGTCATAAGTAGCGCAACTATGAGCATAATCATAAGTCATATTAGGGGACTTATAACCTCACTGATAACTACCCATGAACCTCCAAGCAGGGCCAGGGTGAAGTGCTTGGGTCGTCGAGGACGTTTCCAAGCCGCTGCAAGCAAGCCTGTACTGAACCCCAAACCCTACACCCCAAACCACGCATCCTAAACTCTAATCCCTAAACCGTGATCTTCAAAGGATGGTCCTTCACGGACATTTTCGTGAAGTCTGGCGGCTCCTGCACATGTGACAGGATTTATGCAAGCTCGACGTGCTTAAGCATCGCTTGAAGCATTCCCGAACCTCTATCCCAAGACCCGATACCCGCAAGCTCGCTACGCTCCAGGAAGGCACTGAAAAAGCCACATCTACACATCCCAATCTCGCAAACTCCAATAGCCTACGCCCGAACCCCCCTTCCCCCAAAACACAACAGACAACGGAACGACACAAGCACCAAAGCCGCGGCTAAGCCTCTTTCCCTACGGAGTCCAGATTTTTTGGGCTATCTTCCAGGCTTCCGGCCTTCAGGTTTGGGGCGGCAGTGGTTTAGAATTCAGGGTTTTGGCCCAAGTGTTTTGGCGATTCCTACGCCCGGGGCTGCAAATCCCAAACTCTGAACCCAAAGCGGTAGTAGCTGAACTTCCCCCGAAGCACCGAGGAGCCTCATCCGCGTCCACCGGCTTGTCCGGCGGCTCCTGGGTGGTTCTTTCAATTTAAGATGGCTTGGGTGCTTCGGGGTTTAGGGTTGTGTAAAGTTTGGGGCTTCGGGCTAGGGTTTAGGGTGTGCAGGTGTCCACGGCGAAACACGGCCACTTGTCAAATGAAAGTGCTGCTGGTTTTCTGCCGGAAAAAACCCTGAAGCCCTGCCTGAAGTGGTTCAAAAGTCCGGCGAAGCGCGAAGAGACTTTTGTGGGGAAATCGGCTTTGATGCTTCCATCCTGGAATTCCAAGGCGAAACAGGCAAGGCTCGGTCCTCCGCTCCGAAACGTATGCTGCAAAGCTTGCATGAAAACTGCTGCATAATCGCAGCAGAAACCGAGTTGCTCAGAAATCTTACCTTGCTGGCTGCGCTGTAACGTGACGTAGATTGTAAAATTCCTGCGCCGCCACAGCGGACATAGATAACGTCAACCCAATGCAGCCTATGCATGTTGCCGAAAAGTTTGAACCTCCGTGGTCCGGACCGGAGCTCCCAGTTCCCATTCATCCTAGGCCCTGAACCTGAGGAACAAAATCTCTTTAGAAGCCCCGCAAGCTTTTAGTCTCTTAACCTCAAAGGATCTCGTTCCCAGCCAGGCGCCTCGGGATCAAATGCCTCCTGTCCTTGCGTAGAGGTGCCATCATGCTCCTGCAGCTTTAGGGCATCGGATTCCATTACTTCGCTGCTGCGAGACAAGCCTCCACCCAGAGGGTGGGAGCAAGAACTTCGGGTCCCGAGCCCTAGAGGTCTTATGGGCAAGCAGTGGGGAGTGAGGCTTCGAACTCTTGGTTTTGAGCTGTTGACCCTGGAGGGCACTTCTTTTGAGATCTTGGACCTTAGAAGCCCAAGAACTGAAACTTTGAGGGTCAACACTCAGCACTTGGAGGGTCGGGGGACAGTGTAACTGGTTAGTTTAGGGACTTATAAGTACCATGACCCCACTTAGGGTCCCTTTTAGGGTACTTACAAGTCTACAGTCTACTTACTACCTACTTACTAAGTCCCCCGACCCTCCAAGCAATGGTGCTCTGCGAAAGGCGTGTGTTGAAGGTTCGTGAGTGCTAGCAAGCTCCCAATTTTGTTCCTGGCGGCGATACATAATAAGCCTCATTCCAGGGACCAATAAGCCCCTATGCCCACAGCAAACCCATGACACCCCTGCAAGATGGTGGTAAGATGCTCTCGGAGCCACCGAAGCTAAGCTCGTAAGGCAAGATTATTACCCCTACAAGCGGCACGTGTCAATGATTCATGTTTACGTGGCTATCTTCGTTCCTAACACATTTGAGGGCTTCTACTTGGAGGTTCCTGGGTAGTAGTTATAAGTGGGGTTATAAGTAGGGTAACTATACATATAACCCATATTACGTAGGCGAACTTATATAGAACCCTACTTATAACTACCCAGGAACCTCCAAGTAGGCCCTAAACCCTATACCCGTATAGAATCCCTATAGATCCCTTTAAAGGGGCCCTTATAACTATCCCTGAACCTCCAACAGTATCTTAAGCCGTGAGAACCCCTTCACTTTCGGCCCTGGCTCCTGCTCCTCCTGATCTGGAGGATCGAGAGCCTCCGAAGTGGCCCGGAAAAGTATCCGAAGGGCTTTAGGGGCTTTAGGGTTCAAAAGGATCAAGGGCTTTAGGGGCTTTAGGACTTAGTGGTTTAGGGATCTATAGGGTTCAGGGTTTTTTTTTGGGGGGGGGTATTGGGGTCTTGGGGTCTTGATGTTCAGGATTCAGGGTTTTGGGGGTTTTGGGGGTTTTGGGGGTTTTGGGGGTTTGGGTTTCGGCTAGTTTCAGCATTTGAGCTGAGGCATCTCGCAGCTCAAGGGGTCAGGCTGGAAAGGAATCCACGCTTGGCGTAGGATCTTTGGTCAGATTTGGGGTATATTTTCACTATACTATGAGCATAATAAGGAACCCCCCAAATAGTATAGGTAATTAGCGAAGCCCTGGGGGAGTGGTAAATTCCAAGATTTTAGCAAAGCAGCGCACCCCCTGTCAGAGGGAGTTGACTGACGCCGCGGCATCAGGTGGCACTTGCATATGTCGAGTGGGGTGCAGCGGGAGGATAAAGGGCAAAAGTTTGTCGGCAGCGCACAGCCACTCTTCAGAGCCCCGTACCAGCCGCAAAAGTAAAGCACTACAAAGACTAGGATACAAGCGAACCCGCAGATAGGTGCCCAAGCACAGCGGGGTAAGGACTGGTGGAAGCCGACAACCAACGTGCTGCTGCACCGAAACTTGTCAGGTTTCTGCGTGGAGGGTGTCAGGGTCCGAACTGCTGGACGGTGCGCCCCACTCTACCTGCTTGACGAGGCCAAAGGCCCCCTCCCAACAGTTTTATACGGATATACAAAATGCACATGTGCAACTCCCAAGATCTGTCCCTCTCCCTCGACCTCCTTTGCTCCTCTCTCTGTGCTTCTGCGCGGCGGTCTCTCTGCGAGTTGGTCTGAAAAGAAACCCCTCAGCCCACGAATCTACGGGTGCTGCCTCGTCAGGGTCCACCTCGTCGGGTTCCACCTCGTCGAAATGCTCGTCGTCGGGCTCTGCCTCGTCGAACTGCATTTCGTCCGGGTCGCCCTGCTCGGGCTCCCCCTCCTCGGGCTCCCCCTCCTCGGGCTCTCCCTCGTTGGGCTCTGCCTCCTCAGGCTCTGCCTCTCTCATCTCTTCGTCCACCTCCTGCTCCTCCTCAACCGGCTCGGCATCCTCATCCGGCTCCTGGGGCTCCTCCGGCTCCTGGGGCTCCATGTCCTCCTGCTCTCCTTCCAGCTCGCCTTCGTCGAAGCCCTCATCCGGGAGTTGATCCTTGCGCCACAAAAAGGGAGGTGCTTGCATCAGGCTTGCCATTTTCGGTTGCTCGAGCAACCCTGTGGTGTTCAGGAGCTCACTTCAACCCAAGAGCGGCTGGGGCTGTTTGAGTCTTCCAAGATACATGTTTAGCCGGCAAAACATTCGTAGCATGACCCAAGAGCAAACTGTCGAGTAAAGGGACCGCGGCTTCGAACAGCCACGATCCCCACAATGCCAAACCACCGAAATTCACACTAAACTCTTTGGTTGAAATCCGATGAATCCCAAACCTCCTGCACAACCATACTTTAGAAACTCTAAAAGCCTCGGAAGGGGGCGTTCTTGATCGACTCTTTTTCCATCCGCTGATCCAGCCCCAGAAGGTTTTTTTTTGAACGCCTTTTTCCGCCTAGCAGTTAAGGTTGGATTAGGGCGCAGGTAACAGAAAGCGCTGTCAGGTTTAATGCTTCTCAAATACAGCCCATGTCCTTGTGGCCCGTAGAGTAGGCCTGGTAATGTTCCTACAGTAACCCTCACAATACCCCCTTTGTCTCCTCATCGATGCCCTCGGCGATAGCATCGATCTCGTCGAACTCATCGGAGTGCTGCGTCGTGGCTCCTGGCTCCAGTGAAGCTTGAGGGCTTAGGATTTGGTTTAGGGTAGAGCTAGGCCCTAGCTAGGCTTAGGAGCTTGGGATCTCAGGGATACGCTCTCGCCATCATTTACAATCGCCAGCGTCGCCTCACAGTCACTCCAAAAACCGCAAGCCTCCCATGAACCCTTACCATCCTCAGGGCTTCCTTTAAGGCCTCCTCTAAGTCTTCCTGAGACCCCTAGAAAAGTCGAAGGGCTCCCAAACAGACGCGGCCCGGCCTTGGTCCGAGCCCAGGAGGCGGTCGATGAGGTTCCCAGGCAACTGAAAGAGCTCGGAGCTTTAGGGGCTTTAGGGCCCTGGGAATTTAGGGTTTAGGGTTTAGGGTTGGGGGGTTTACTTAGTTCTGGCTAGTAGGGAAAATGTAGGAATAGCTACTGTTACTACCATTCTTCCATTCCCTACTAACCGAAGGTAAGTTTAGGGGGGCAGGTGTCTAAGGGCTCTTGTATAATAAGGGCTCCAATAAGAGAATCCATTGAGAGGGAGTTTCCGGGTGCGTGGTGTGCGTCTACATGCACATGCACATAGTTTAGACGCATAGAAAGTGGCGATGGACCTGTTACGCCTCTACAGTTGCAGAGACGGGCTCCTGTTCTTGCCTTTAGACCCTGAAGGCCTAAAACAGGGGGCCTTAATAACTTGAATAGAGTTTTATGGCCCATTGCACATCTGGCTGTCACCACCCAGGCCCCAAACCACCCCAGAAGATGCCTGATCTTCCTCCTCCTCTTCCTCAGCAGGCTCCAAGACCTCGCTTTGCGTCCAGGGTTCAGGATTTTGGAACTTTGAACCCTGACGCAAAAACCCTAAACCAGGTACTCAGGGTCTCGGGTATGGGCAGCTCAGGGGGTTAGATCCGGGAACACCAAACCGCTTGGGGCTGCAGGCTCAGGGGCACCAGCTCGTGTCAGAGGCAAGGGCTTCAACTGGCCATACACCATTAGTATCACGACGTCGGACCGTCCTGGTAGTATGATAGAATGATAGTGTGGTTGCGTGGTAGTGTAGCGGTGCGGTAGTGCGCTCGTCCAGTTTGTACTATGATGTACCCCAAACATTACGCAACATGGCCCGAACCCTGCTTAGACAACGCTGATGTTTCCGAGCGAGCGCACGAGGTTCTTGGGCAGGAGGGCCTTGACCCCGTGGCCTTGACCTGCACAGAGAGTTCTGATGCAGGGGCCTTAATAATTAGAACAAGGTGTTGGGCCCATTATACTGCAGGTATAATCAGGAACCACCAAACTAGTATAGGTAGATTTAGGCCCCTATAGTAGGCTGAGTCAGGGCTTGGGGTTTTGGGTCTGGTGCTTTGGGTTTGGTCTGGGGTTATCGGGTTGAGAGTTTAGGTTTCAAAACTTGGGAGGTATGGGGTCTTGGTGTTCTAGTTCGGGAGACAGGTTAGGATGCGGCATTTGGGATTTAGGGCAAAGTTTGGGGTTTTACGCATTGGGCTGAATGCCCATAAATAAGGGAGACCTTGAAAGGCAGGCGGAAGCACCGAATGCCATGCTCTGGGTGCCTAAGTCCACCTGCCACCGGCCCGTGTTGTCATCTCGCCGGACAAGGGTGCCGACCTTGGCAACGCAATACAGCTTAACTTAATATGATGCAATACAAGATGATGTCATACCGCACTATAGGAGGCCTAGTAAACTCAGAGCATCTGCCGTGCTTCCTTCGTCGAATATGCCCTGGAGCTTGAAACCTGAGCAGCCTTCCCTGTCTAGCCATGCGAGTACCAAGAGTAAAATAGGGGCCTTCCGAATTAGAATATGGTTTTGGGGCCTATTATGCTATAACTATAATAACGAACCCCCCCAAGATAGTATTTGTAATCATTTAAGCCCCTATAGTACTTGAACTGGTGGAGAGGCATTCGTCGCATGCCTCCTTGCCTCATACAACTGACTATTGAGCTGAGTCTGAAGAAGGAGCCTTCAGGCCAAGCTCGGGCCGATGAGTTGAAACTTAGTGGTGGCACTTCGGGCTCAGATGCTTGAAGCGGGTATCAGATCGGTAAGAGACCCCTCTGCATGCGCTCTCTCTGAACTGTAGGGGTTGAGACTCAATGCCCCTGGCCTAGCGACACCCCAACGACCCCAGCTCTCGTTGAGCCCAAAATGCAGAGCTCTTCTGAGGGCTGGGCCAAACCATTCAGCGTGGCCTCTGCTGGGATTCAGTGAAGCTGTCTTGCAGAGTCACCAGAGGTAGGTCACAAGAATGAAGGAGAAGCACAGGCAAGAAGCAGCAATGCTGCCAGTGTCGCCAATGCTGTCGCTACTGCTGCTGCTGCTGCTGCTGCTGCTGCTGCTGCTGCTGCTGCTGCTGCTGCCGCTCGTAATGCTGCGGATTCTGATGCTGCAGCTGCAGTAGAAGCAACACGACCACGAGAACAAGGATGGCGGCGGCGGGGGGACGACGACGAGGAGCATGCAGATCATGACGATGAGATTAACAGCCTCAATCACTTCGATCCTTAATGCGACAGTTCTCAAGTTAGGGAGCCTTGCAGCCATTCAAACCCGTGCTTTTGGCTACTCGGCCCCCTGTCTACCGTACTATAAAACCCCAAAGCTGTAGACCGCACACTAACCCTAAACCCCAAGCTCAATCCCCTTTACCCTAAACCCCATACCCTATGCACAAGACTATATCCCCCCTTAGAACCGAAATGAAAATAGTATGTTTAACATTCTCTCGGGTTTTATATGAACAAAATTTAAAAACACTAACTCCTAAAAAAGACTATAGTAAATCCCAAAGCCCCCCGGGGCCCCTGGCGGCATTGGCGAGATCGCGGAGGCGCACGGAAAGACCCGGGGCTAGGTCCTGCAAAGACTTCCCCAACAGAAGTAGGCTTCATTGAGGGGTTCCTTTACGGGCCTTGGTAGGGTCCATGGAGACATCGAGTAATCCGAACAGGGTTGGTTCGGGGGTACATCTTTCTGTCGTTGTGCAAAAAACTCAAAACCCTCAAACTACGGCTTCAAACGAAGCGTAGACGTGAATTGGCTCTGTGCAACATAATATGATGAATTGTAATCACAACTCGAGGGTATCTACGTGAGGAAGACTTGAGACGACAATGCTCCAAGGGGATAGTCTACCCCTCATGACTCCACCGCAGTGGGGATGCTACATGGGAGTTGTCAGTTTCAAAGCATAAGCAATCATTCCGCCAGCATGGCCCCAGAAACTGTGAAAGAGCAGCAAGGAGAGCTGTATTTCGGAGGCAGGCGACTGCGGCGGCAAGCCGATGCGCATACCACAACACTCGCCGCCCAGTATGGAATTCAACCGAAGTACTTCGAGCGATGCCAAGGACAAAACGAACACAGGACTGACGCGGGAGCATGATTTTATTGATACATTCACACGGCGCTGTGACCTGTGAGCGATCCGGGACAGCAAAGGCATTGGGCCTTAGAGTGCGGCCGATGCATGACTGGGGTGAGGAACCTGATTTTTGTCGAAATAGTGCGCCGCACTGCTGCGTCGCAGAACAGCGATCCAAAGCCTCTAGCCTGAACGTAAGAGAACGACATAGCGTATCGTACTGCTTGGGCACAAAAGCGACTGAAGACATCATTTGTGCTCTAACATGCTGGAGGAATCCATGCGACAAGTGGAATCAAAACACCACACAATACAAGTACAGATAATCTTCGGGTCAAATGTTCTGTGATTTGGAAAGGACGATCCTGCAGACAAGTCTCAGGAAGATCCTCGCAGAGGAGTTCTGACCAGTAATGAGAAAAATGGATTGCAAACCCTTAAACAGCGAATCCAAAACCTCGAACCCTCCTGAACTGCAAACCTTATACCTCAAGCCCACTACCCCGAAACCCGAACCCGAAACCCGAACTTTAGGTCGGAATTGCAGAGTGCCGTCCTTCGCATCCATGCAACCGACTCAGAGCTGCGTGAAATCCATGGAGCTGAAGCGGGTTGTGTGCTACTATATGGATTTAGGCTCTTATCATTATCCCCTCTTTTCGGTCTGCCGATCGCCTCAACGTTCACGATGCGATATTGGGTTTAGGGTCTGGCCTGTCTTGATGACGGGGTGATACTGAGGGTATTGACAAGGTGACCGTGATGGTGAGGGTGAGTGTGAGTGTGAGTCGTAGTGGTGGAAGGTTTAGTCGGTGCCGTAGCAGCCGTAGCAGTAGTGGAAGCGCCTGTAGTTGCTCGACATCGTGGCGGGTTATGGGTGCTGGTGGTAAGGATTGTCGGGGAGCCAGGGATCAAATACGATGATCGCGAGTCAACTTTTCAAGCACAAGCTAAACCTTCAACCTAGCCTAGATCTTAAAGCCAAGAAAACAAACAGCCATGTGCTCTTCATGATTGAAGCTACACGGGCCGAAAAGTGGCGACGATGCAGACACGGCAGGTTGAGGTCATGGTCATAGTCTCCAGGGTTGAAGGCCAGTCTAAGCGTTTAGGACAAGAGCGAGCTTAGGATGTAGGTACTGTAGGTTTTGAAGATTCAATTAATGGGGCTCACAGGTTTATGATTTAGACTTGGAGCTCTCACGTGGGAGCGTTCAAAAACTACCATACGGGAGCCTTGCACAGACCCCGCATGTATCTATATGTGTCTTGCGTCAGCAAATAACTTGCCGAAGTCACCCAGCCGGATTTAGGTTGCCCGGACTCCGGATTCAAGTTGGATGCCTTTTCGCTTGGAGACGCCTATGTACAGCCGCAGGGGGGCCCGTCTGGCTCAGCCGATGCAAAGCTGGATTTCTTCACATCGAAGTGTTGTGCTATTTCAGCCTGCTAAGACTCTACGTCTTTAATGTGGATGGGCGCACATCTGACACCCGAAAAGCGACACAATCTTAATCCTACCGACGCATCAAGACACCAGCTATGCCAACAGTGATGACGGTAATGATGACTAGAATCATGGGTCAGCCTGCCGACTGTGAGTTCTCGCCGTGCAAAACACGAGACGTGTGCCTTATCCCTACTGACAGTCACAACATCCATAGTGGCAGTTGACGAAACTTGTTGGTGGCGAAACAGAAAACCCGACAACAGCACAGTGGCCAACCCTGAAATCATGTCGCGAAGATGATGACAAACACGCAGTTGACGCGAACCAGAATATAAAGTAGTGGGAAAAATGCAAGCCCCCAAACTTGTAAACTCCTAGGAAGAAGGCTGAGGGCACCTATCCGGCTGCCAAGAGTTGCATTCTGAGAAATGCAAATCCCGCTTTGCAAGACTGCTAGCTACGAGGCAGCGAAGGGAGTCTTTCCACCTCGCAAGCCGTGAAACAATCAACAAACATAATGTAGGATTTCAGGCGTCAAACAGGGTTTGAGGGTTCATGGAGGGGTTTAGGGTTGAGGGCTTCGGGCTTGGAAAGCTTCGAAGGCATCGACAGCATCACTAAATCAGTCAGCCAGCTCACTCAGCGCTTCATGCTGTTCCAGTTCGTGGAGTGCGCCGTGCGGAGGAACCTGAGCCAATGTCTGAAGCGAGCAGGGCGAAGCATCTACTGCTGATACTGTTGTTGCTTTTGCTGCAAACGGAACTCCTGCAACTGGCACTGCCAATCAGAATTGCTTTGCGACTCCTTCGGTGCGGCTGCTTGGTGATGTGCATTGAGTCTTCACATGTCCTTGATAGCCCCAATGTCCCTCAGTTCCGTGTCCTCCGGTTTGACATGTAGTGTCCTGGAGACGCTTCTACTACCCCCAAACTCCCTCTGAACGAACCACGGTGATAGGAGCCAGACATCGCCACCTGCCTTGGTGCAGAAACCTGCACGCAAAGTGCTCGGGATTAGAGAGGCTGTCACTTTAGTCCCTTAGGCCTTGGGGATTTTGGACCGAGGTGGCAAGCTAAACTCTGCTCTCTGTGTGCAGCACACAGGTCCTGCTCCCGGCAAGAGGTGCAAACAGACAGCATCCGCTCACAAATCGCACCGAGACCCTGTCGCAAAAGGAATGTTGAACCACACTAACCACTAACCCTCCATCACAAAAACCTCGAACCCTGCACCTATCACCCCGGCCCTGTCCCCCCAAAATTTCGGGTTCAGGCACTCA